CAACTGGACCACAAAAGTAAGAGAACAGGGAGGGCTGGAAGAGGAAGGACGGGACCTGAAGAAGTGAGACCTTATCAAACCTTGTTCAATAGATAAATCTGTGAAAAGTGCAGAGGAAGATATGGGGGAAATATTTCTGATAGGAAGATATCTAAAATAAGGTTAGCACTGAGAATAAATATTGTAATAGTTTCCCAGTTGCTCCTTCATCTTCCTGTCTTATTCCACACTGCCTCACCATTCCTGATACATACTGTGCAAAAAGTTACCTTTCTACATCTGACCATGTTGCTTCTCTACTCACAACCCAGCAAAGAATTGCCATTTGTCCCTATATAAATTCCAAATCTCATAGCCAAACAATCATGGCTCTGTCTTTCTAATATGACGTCTTTCTGGAACACATCTATCCACTTATTCATTCCCACCCCTCTTGCTAATACACTACAGATAAAACTACTTGAAATTNGTCCTTAATTAGAGGCCTAAAAATGGCCCAGTGGAATATAATCTTGAAGCAAAAATTTAATTTTTTAAACCATTTTCTTTGTGAAGAGTCCTGACTAAGGTGAGAGAAAGATAATAATCTATGGCTTCAAGTAGCTGACAAGTCTGGGAGACTAGAATAATTTGTATGAAAAATTAGAGGGCGGCAGTTCAATGAAAGATGTTGTCCATTGATGCAACTGGACCACAAAAGTAAGAGAACAGGGAGGGCTGGAAGAGGAAGGACGGGACCTGAAGTGAGACCTTATCAAACCTTGTTCAATAGATAAATCTGTGAAAAGTGCAGAGGAAGATATGGGGGAAATATTTCTTTTTTTTTTTGTTTTGGTTTTCTTTTGTCTTTTTCCGTGTCCGGCAACGGATCGCAACCCTCAGTGTTGCCCCCGTACCGGACCGGGGACCGGCAACGGGATTGCAACCCTCGGTGTTGCTCCCACGCCTCACTCAGCCAGTGAGGGGGAACCGGTCTGTATGTGGGATCCGAACCCTCAGGCAGGAGCGCCGCCGCGCTTCCTAAGCGGCGCACTTATCCAGTGTGCCACCGGGCCGGCCCAAGGGGGGAAATATTTCTGATAGGAAGATATCTAAAATAAGGTTAGCACTGAGAATAAATATTGNTATCCACTTATTCATTCCCACCCCTCTTGCTAATACACTACAGATAAAACTACTTGAAATTATAGAATGTGCACTTTGTTCAATCTTCTAGGCTTTGTATAAATTTTTGCCTTGACTTAACAGAAATCATTCTGTCCAAAAATATATCCACACTACACCTGGCTCTTATCCATTCTTTTGCATCCTCTTCTCTAGGAAGCCTTTTCTGAATCCCAATGGCTAGCTAGGTGCCCTGGTACTTACTATAGTACACTGTATTATATCATATTGTAATTGCATATCGTACCCATAGATAGTAAACTACTGGAGGACAGGGAATCTCTTGTATTCACTCTTACATCCCTAGCACTTAACAAAGTGCCTATAACATAGTAGATCTAATTTGTAAAAATCTGTGCATTGAATGAGGGGAGTAGGTTGAGTGACCAACTGTCTTCATTCACCTGGGACTGAGGGTTTCTTGGAACACAGAACTTTCAAGGACAAAACCAGGATAGTTCTGAGCAAATTTGGAGAGTTGAACCAGGAGTAGAACTCCCAGCACAGAAGTAGCTATACAGAGAGGGAAGGGAGAAATAATAGTGAGGATCTCAAATTGAGCTGAGCTGGAGAGTTTATATTAAAATTGTGTAAGGTAAAATAGCTAAAGATAAATGGGATCAGATTAAATGGTAAATGTTTGAGCAAAGGAGTAATGTTATGTCTTTTCAATGCAGTGTTAAATCTACCCAAGCAATAAGCTGGGAAACCAATATGGGAGTTTTACGAGGTAATCTAGGTATTTACTGTGATGAGCAGCAGGAGATTGGCAAGGAAGAGACAAACCTAAGACATCGCGGTGAATACTTCTTAGCTTTAGGGGAGGAGCAGAGAATGAAAGGAAAAGAAGAGGTACATTTTTGAGTAAGGAAATTACAACAATAATGAAACCACTTACAAAAATGAGAAGGTTGTGTAGAGGAGTCATTTTGGGGAGAAAAAAGATAAATGCTATTTGGAAAATGTGCTATGGAGAAAGAGTAATCTAATTTTTAATGTGATGTAGCTTGTTTTGAAAATATGCCTAGAATGTAAGTAAAATACCAAGAGTGAATATATTAATTTGTGAATCAGTAGCAAAAAGATAATGCTTGAATTCAAAATGAGTAAGAAAATGCTTATGAATTTTTAAGTTAATAATTCTGGAATTGTGAGCCTTGGAGAAAAAAGAGTTTGGGGACAATATTACAAATAAAACACACCATGAATTTTAACTCATTTTTAATTTATTTACAAA